GATTTTTTTTCCGGATTCCTTGACATCATCTTTATAAATATTGATGACTTTATTATTATAAAATCTAACAATTTCAGACGTATTAAATAAATAAAAAATATACTGTGTTATGAATGATAAATATTCTTTCAAATGAAATAATGAAGTGTAATTTATTAACATAAATAAATGAAGATAAGAACAATGATGATGTTAAAATTCTGTTTTACTTTCTTATTTTTATCATATAATGACACACTCTGATGCTTTTATAAAAAAATTCATCATTTATTATAAAATTTTATTTATCTATGAATAAAAATATTAATCTTGTTTGAATATAAGAACGTGATGATGACATTGTCAGATTTTATTATTTATTAATCAATATATGATTTTTTCAGAAACCATTAACAGGAAACTCGTGATGTTACATATGATCACATCTGTCTGCATATGTCATGTTTCTACTATTTATTATATTTTTTTTATTACAATAACTATCTATTAGTTACATATAGATACCTCACAAATAGAAGATTATAACCATTAGTAATAAAATACTTATGAAGATAATACTCATAGTGTTCATTTTATCTTTTGCGAATGGAAAAATATATATTCATAATACAGTAGATGGTCCTTCAGTCGAAGTCTACGATTGTATTCTTCATGGTGATATATTTTATTGTCGTCGTCCGACAGAACCGATAATTTTAAATAGAGATAATATTACAGAACAATGTTATCATAATGGAATTCGTCATTCGTTTGCTGATCTTCTCAGAGATAATATTAGTATCAGTACTATTTTACATCAATGGAAATCAAGTATTGAAAAAGTCGAACAATATTCACGTTACGAGAGAAATTCAAATGGACTTAATGATTCTCTATGTGAATGCGTAACTCCTCAATCATTCGGAAAAAATTGTGAATATCTGTTACCAGCAGGAACAACATTTGAAGAGACATTTATGTGGGAAAATTCTCAGAAAATAAACAATCCGTGGTTGGTACAACTGCATGGCGATATTATTTGTTATAAGACATTGGAATGTAATTTTGGTCTTTTATGTTTGGATTGGCGTGATATATGTGATGATCTTCAACAGTGTATGTCAGGAATAGATGAAGAAAATTGTGATAAACTTGAATTTAATGAATGTGAAAATGATGAATATCGTTGTATGAATGGCATGTGTATTCCTGAAGATTATTTTCTTGATGGAAGCTTAGATTGTTTAGATTGGAGTGATGAAATTCATTATTATGATGATCTCAACTGCCCGAGGGAACCAGTTAGTATTCAATGTGACGATCGAATCTGTCCACCATATCAGTATTCATGTGGTGATGGACAATGTATTGCCGATCGGTTTGGATTTCAAATTATGTCACAAGTAAATTTACAATGTCGAAACCGACGCGATCAATATTTTATTTGTGAAACACATTACAGAGACGTCATGTGGACATTACCCAATGGACGATGTTATGACAAATATAAATACAGTGAATCAGAAATGGCCAATCTTACTGTTGCTGAAGAATGCCAATATATTCTTCGGTGTGATTTATCAGAAGCAGCCGAAGCACATTGTCCTTGTAGAAATAATTCTGACTGCCATAAACAATTGAACTCTACTTGTCGTTCGAATTATATTCAATATCCAACAGCAGGCATTATGGCACCATATGTCTTATTTTTATATCATGCTGTGCATCAATTAAGGTCAAATTTTACTTTGATTAATGGAACAATCAAATGTAATGGAGCATTGATTCATATTTCTATTGATAAATTTCCATTTATCTCTCAACTTCACGAACTTGAAAATACTTTATGTCAAACGATAAACAATACGTCTGTACTCAATAATCACAACCAACATGCATCAACCTTTAGCAATCGTTCATATAGGTCAAGTACAATTTGTAATAAATCGAAAACACATATTTCTATCTATCGAATTAAAGATGGTTTTGCCAATTGTGCAGATCAAATGGATGAAACCGTTAATCTTTCTATTTCTACAATATGTTCAAATATGGAACGCTATCGTTTTCACTGTTCCACTAATGAACCAACTTGTTTAAGTGCTTTCGCATTCGGAAACTATGAAAATAATTGTCAGAACAAATTTGATGAACTTTGGTTTGGCACGAATGCCAAATTAGTTGATATTAATTGTAATAAACAACGTACGGATCAATGCGATCTTCTTCGTCGATACATTAAAAATTCTTGGGTATCGAATAGTAAGGGTGAATTAAGCAGAAAACTTGAAATACCATTTCGTAGTTATTGTGATACATTCTGGAATTTAGCCGCGAAAGAAGATGAAAATATAACAGATTGTACGGATTCGTGGATTTGTCCAGAAGAACAATGGCAATGTGATACTGGTCAATGTATTGATATAAGCTGGATATTAGATGGAGAATGGGACTGTGCTGATGCATCTGATGAATATAAACTTTTCGATCGAGTAATTTCAGGACGCAACTTAAACTTGATTGAATCTGTTGAATTGATAAACAGATCTACGAAAATAGAACATCAACGGTTAGCATTCTCTACAATTTGTAATTTAACAATAGAATTTCCATGTTTAAATGTTAATTTTTCTGGTTCATTCCATAATTTAACACATATACAACTTTGTAATAGTCAAGATCGAATTGGAGATGGAAACATCGACTGTTATGGTGCAATCGATGAACGCAATGTCATAGAACATTTGAGTGAACAAACAATGCTTGGATATAATTTTCAATGTGAATCATATAAACAGTACATTCCATATCGGGATCATTGTCTTCAAACCCGATGTAATACAAGTTTTGATGATCAATTCTGGTGTGATCCTCGAGCAAATGTGTTGAATTGTGATAGTTTTTCAGATGCCGTATGTTTCAATGGTACTTGTGTAAGACGTGGTCGCTGTAATAACGTTTTAGATTGTCATTTTGGTGAAGACGAATATATGTGTGAGCATCGTAGTACTACAAATACGACCGATACGTATTATCGCGCATCTAAGGAGCTAACTACCAAGAACATCAAACATAAACTTCAATTAAATCACTTTCCGACTAACTCAAATATCACGACAATAACTAAAAATCAGAGTGATGCTACACAAACAACAACATCAACAGTAATACTATCGTCAAATTTTACATCAGAATCAACTGCCTACTGGTGTAATCGTGGTGTCGGTGTACAAATGTGGAATGGTTCAATTATTTGCTTTTGTCCACCACAATATTATGGTGATAAATGTCAGTTTCATAATGATCGAATCATTGTAACTATCCATCTTAATCTTACTCAATCGAGTTATACAATCCATAGTAACATAGCAATCGTACTTAAATTGGTAGTTTTATTTCTATTCGAGAACCAAGTCATCACCAATCATATTTTTCACGTACGGCCAGCAGTTGAAACGGTGACTTACAAAAAGAAAAGGATTCATTTTCCTTATTCTCGTTCATTTTCTTCTCTTGATCGTAAAAAAACTCGATACTTTAATCAATCAAATATTATTAATGAACATCCCTATTCAGTTCGTATTGAAATGTACAAAGGAGAAAATTTTAAAGAACCTTTACTTACTGCAGTATGGCAATATCCCATTTATTTTGATTATTTACCTGTATTTTGTTTAGCTAAAGTTCTTCATTTAAATGAACAAAACAAAAACAGAAATCCATGTTTAAGTCATCCATGTAATCAAAATCAATATTGTCAACAACTTATGAATGATGAAAACAATTATATTTGTCTCTGCAAAAGTAATTTTACAGGAGAAAATTGTTCGATTAAAGATCAACAATGTACCGATGGTTATTGTGGATCTGGATCTTTATGCAAACCGAATTATCGTGGTTTATTGATGGGTAACGAACTGCCTTATTGTATTTGTTCATTTAATCGATATGGTGAACGATGTGATATTATACATGATAAATGTTTACCCAATCCTTGTGAACATAATGGTTCATGTTTTTCAACCTCGCTACCAAACACTGTTTCATGTGTATGTACTGAAGAATATCATGGTAAACATTGCGAATTGAAAAAATCTGAAGTAAAATTATACATTAATGAAAGCATTGATCATATAGCAAGTGTTATACAATATTTTGATATTGATTTTACTTCGTTAGATCTTAATCTTGTTTATCAACAAGTTAATCGAACTCTTCCCACGTTAATAGAATATCGGCATGATCATACTACAGCACCGGAAATTATTTTAGTCAAACTTTTTACTTCTAATATTGTTACTTCTAATATTGAAGATTCTATTCAACTCTATTTGATCTCTCTTCATATTGATGTTACATCAATTTATGCAACAACTCAAATTAATCAAAAAAATCGATGCTATCATATTCATTCATTAATATCAAATAATATGACACAAATTATTTCAAATCCTTCTCCTATTAAATATCATACTTTTTGTCAAAATATTTCAAATCTCTTTTGTTTTCGAGATAATTCATATTTATGTATCTGTAGTGATAATCAATCTCGAGTAGAATGCTTTCGTTACAATTATTATCTCGACAAATGTTCTTATTGTATCAATGGTGGTATTTGTGTAAAAGGTAATCGATTACATTTACAAGATTACATTTGTTTATGTCCGCCATGTCATTCAGGAATTAAATGTCAATTTAATTCTAATTCATTTGGTTTTACACTTGATCAACTCTTTTATACTGATCTTGTTTCAAAAAATTATAAAATAATATTTCGATTATTAATTATCGTACCTCTTCTTTTATTTTTATTAGCTCTACCAAATAATTGCTTTTCTATTATGACTTTTCGTCGACAAAATTGTCTTAATAATAGTATTGGTCAATATTTACTTGTTTTGAATATTATTAATCAATTTAATCTGGGAATTTTAGCTGCACGTTTAATTCATTTAGCAATTAATATCACTGATATGAATTCTTATCCTTTAGTCAATAATTATCTTTGTAAAATATTGAATTATCTTCTTACTTCATCTAATCGAATGGTATATTGGCTTTCATCATTAATAGCAATTGAACGTGTTTATATGACTATTTTTCTTAATGGACGTTGGTTAGGAAAACCACATATTGCACGTCGTTTAATTATTCTAACTTTTATTGGTATTTTAATCAGTGATATACATGAACTTGTATTTATTGTATCATTATATGGCATCAACAAAGATTATGGTGGTATGTGTGTAATTGACTTTCCGAGCAATCATCGATCTATATGGTTAAAATTTCATCTTATTATTTCAATTATAAATTCAATTTTACCATTGTTAATTAATATTGGTTGCATGATTACGATTAGTTATGTAGTAACACAAAAGAAAATGAAGACACGCCAGATGATCATCTGTATGTATGAAAAACATAATTAGAAGAAATATAATAATAAATTCTTTTTTAGATTCAAAAACGATACTCAAACAAAACGAGCCATTAAAAAAAGAATCGATTGTCGTTAAATTTCGAACACGTTTTCATCTAATGTTAAATGTATTGAGTGATAATAAAGAATTAATAATAGGACCAGGTATTACTCTTGTTCCACAATTATTTTCGTTACCACTTTTTATTATATCATTTACATTGTATTGTCAAAATTTGGAAAGTACTTGGATGCGATATCTTTTGATTGCGTCATATTTTACTTCATTTATTCCTCAACTAACTAGTTTTATGCTTTACATTTATCCTTCATCATCCTATTCAAAAGAATGGCATGCTACGAAAATTAGTCAATGGATATCTAGTTTTTTTCAACAAACTCGGCCAATTCCAGCCATAACAATCGGACCAGCTACTATGGATTAGACTAAAAATTAAATATAAAAACTATTTTAAAATTGTACTATATTTTCTTCAAATAAATCTATATACATATATTATATTAACATATAAGAATGAGATTGATAAATCATACGCTGTAATACTATCATTCAGATATTGTATTGGAATAATAAAATTATTATATTACTTTGATGTTGTGGGTGTGGGATGAGTGTGGGTACTATGAATACGATACACCCTCACCTACACCCACACCCAAGATGCTGTTCACCAATCGAAGCCAAGTGTATAGAAAAGTAACATATATATAAAGAAATATTAATATTATTTCTTTTTTCAATACAATAAGCATTAATGAAAATCTATCGAGATCACATATATCAAGCCAGTTTCTATCCATGAATCTACATATACCACTCCGAAAACGATTGAAACATAATACTATTATCAGTGGCGGCGGAGTGTGGAGGCTCAAGAGGCTTAAGCCTCACTTAGTTTTCAGCCCTTGAGGCTCAGCCTCACTTATTTTCGGATTGAATATTATCTTTTATTATTAGAATTTGTTATGTTCGACATCTAACATACCTAGATATATATTCTGACGTATCTATCTTTCAATGCGGTTCACCTATTTTTATATGTTTTTCTTTTCTCTATTCTTTTATCGCATAGATATCACATACAGCTTATATATATATCATGTATGTTTTTCTTTTCTTTTACTTGTATATTTCCCTTGTCTATGTGGTACTCAGGTACTTTTCCTCTTTGCTTACATGTTTTCTTGTCTGCATGTTCAGTTTTTTCTCATTTCGTCTATATGTTTTATTCCCAAAACGTTTGGGTTTTTCAAGCGCATATACACATACACATATATTAGCTCAGTAGTGATTGGATTGATTTATATCCTCTTCACAGTGTATTTAATGGCTGGAAAACGTCCAAACATTCATCCATTTTTCTTTTTGACACATATACAAAGAAAAGTCTGTGTTCAACTTTCGCATCGAAGAACGAACAGAAAAAGTTATTTTTTTGTACGACCTGATTTGTTTTATTTGCACGATGACCGTCATAGTTTTCATTGAGGTCTAATAAAAAGAAGACTCATATTTTGCTTCATATTTTAATAAAAGTCCACAGTAGAAAAAAATATTGTGAGCCTCACTTAGATTAATGACGCTCCGCCGCCCCTGTTTTGTTATGTGTACAGACACACATTTACCTTGGTGGGGTGGTGTTATGGTCATATCTGTATATACCATCACACAGTCTCTCACATCATATATGGTTTTCGTTACTGGTCCATGTTTGAATTAAATCGTGTATATGAATTGATTAGTGACGGCGTTCGTCAATCTCTTTCATCGTCATCTAAAATTAACGATTCGTCATATTTAACATTTGTTCTGTTTTGTTCGACACTATTCTTATGTCGATAACTGGAGAATCCTCTTCAAACATTTTGTCTAATCCTTTACTCTTTCATATATATAATGATTGTTGCATCATCCTAGATGGTGTAGATGTGAATGAAATAATTGAGATACACCAATATTCACATCTAATTTTGAATAAATAGATTTTATCCGTCGGATTGTTATCAAGTATTTTTACTAATGATTGACAAATTAGTTTAATTAAAAATTCTCATCTTGAATCTCTTGACTAGGAAATGACAAATATACTTCGCCAACCAAAGAAGCAGATAATTTTCTTCGTACTTTGTCAAAGAAAAAGAACGTTCACTATTTTCTTAAAAAAAAAGAGATGCGAGTGTTCTGTTTCGCTTCCTGCGTAGTATCTTTGTCTCTTAATAAATTCTGAATATTCTACGCCGTCAAAAAACATCGTCCGCTGTTACATTTACAAAGAGAAAAGATAGAGAATTAAAAAATGTCGGTTACTTTGATCTTGTTGCTTTATGGAAGAAGTAGTGACTCATTATTAGTTTATATTTTTTTTATTATGTTAGTATCTTGTTAAAAGAATTGTCATTGGATCTGATGTTTTAACCAATTCAAGGTTATCCTTAAGAGTAAAATTCATTAAAGAATAGATCCGGCCTATTTCAAGCCACGTTTGTTATTCAAATGATCTAAATACTTGGTGAGTATTGCAATAGATATGAATTAGAGAATATTTGCTGATAATCGACGTTCAAAATATACGTGTTTCTTAAACCATCTCTGCATATATAATTGTCATAGGCATATGCAATAATATCAAAATATTTTTTGACAGATGAATAATATATTTAATTAGAAAAATTGACATGCAAACTGTGAATAGAAAAGACAAAAATGTTCTACGAGATTCAATCTTTAGATTGTTTGTATTATATTTGAGCTTAAATTCAGCTATTATCACCATAACATAAAATGTAAAAAAACAGTAGAAGCACGTTATTGACCAAATTTAGAATTATATACAGAAGACTTGGCAAATGAGAGATATAAAGATCAATTAATAAAGCATCCTCATTTTGGAAGTAAAAGAAAAATAATTCCAATCATACAAGAATTTTCATTGAATCAAATGTTTGTTCAAGGAATGCCTATTATTGCATAATATACTTTATTATTTTATTACTTGAGATGACATTCCGTAGATACTCGTTTATTTTTCTTCCTTCGTCAAGTCTGTTGGCGAATGACGTCAACAAAAAAAAGTGTAGGATAAAAGTTGGAAAGAGATATTTCCGCCAGTGTGATAGATGAAGACAGGTAACACGGTTGATATGATCAGTAACGACAAAGATAAAAGAAGATAAAACATTAGAAACTGACGAGAGAATCTCATACCACAATTTCATTTCAACCCTACTGAAAATTTTCAAAAATGTTCGTATCAGATCGTGTGTCTTCATTTTTTCCTTGAGATAAGTATCATAGCTCGATACTCTTTTTTTCTCTTTACTATTGTCTTCTACAGCTAAGATAATATAACTGAGGATATATCAATATATAGAGATAATACTATTCTATATTATTATCTTCTCGTATACTTGTGCTTGCGACAGCGTTCGAGTGATCTTTATAATTAATGTTTGTTCATCAACATCGAATTTTCTTTTAGCGAAAAAAACAACGTACATGATGGACAATGATTACGTGAATAGATCACAACAAGAGCCACCACCGCCTTACCATATTATAATTCAACAGCCGACGTACCATCCACAAGCTTTCGAACAGGGTCCTTTGCCACATGCTACCTATCCAACTCCAGCTAACAATTTTGGACCTCAATATATGGGACCATCTTATCCATCCTATCCGCCTCCGCCTAATATGTATGGTCATCATTACATGGGACCATCTCCAACAGGTACCGCTCCACAGCCTATCTATATCATACAGCAACAACCGCAACAGTCACAACCGGTAATAACACAAATGGTCACAGTTCAACAGAGAACAAGTGATGGATGCTGCTGCTTAATTTGTCTTCTCACGGGCGGATTGAATATTCCATGCTGGATTGCTAGTTGTCTTGGTTGCTGCGATTGAAAATGTATACAAACAATTATATCATACCGAACTATTGTTCTAAAATAAATATCAATGAAAAAAAAGAGCTCGTACTTTTCCATGTAAAGAATTGAAATGTAATTTTATGCCTGGGCAAAGTTTATAAATATATTGTAGATCTACGTCAGTCACCTGTTCACTGTAAAAAATACGTTCGAATATAATCGTCGTTTTTTTTCTATATTACTAATATGAAATCTTCATATCATGAGTCATTGTCTTTTTTCATTCATATACATGAAAAGATGAGTTAGTGGGTTCATTAAATTTTCATTGTTGATATGGCTCTGATTTAATTTTCACGTTAGAAATACTAGAAGATTATGAAATATATACTATAAGAAGTATTGAACCTCTTCGTTTCCAACTTGATCGACTACGCGATTAGTCATAATAATAATTATACAAAATCTGTTTTGACTATCAGTAATAAAGTTTTTATCAATGATGAAATAAAACCAACTAACATACCCTAATGGGTAGTTTTGTTAAAGTTCATAATTAATGCTAATGATTAATAAAATCATGATCATATAGAAAATTACATGACAACTTTAAAAATGATTAATGATAGAAATAAAATTTGTTATTTATCTTCTTGATTTCTTCAAGCAATAGTTATTTGCTGTTCTTCTTCACGAAAGCCTTCAGACGAATGAGTTGTATCATTATTTGCTGAAGATTGAGCATGTGATAAATTTTTTCGTTGATGAACAAAATGAACAAGATGTGAAACAATATAAATAATAGTTGTCATTAATATACAAACAGCTAAAAGAGTTGGAAAATGATTTGGATCGTGATCCATAACTAAACCTAAAACATTCAAAAACAAAAAATTAAATATGTTTTATCATTTATAAGATATACCAGCTATTTTGCTAAATGTCATTGCTCCAAGTGCTGTCCCACATAATAGTAAACCAAGAAGCATTGGAGTAACATTTAATCTTTGATTAAAATATCCAAACGATAATGGGAATATTGGAAAAAATATAAAACCAGTCACTATACCAAGAACAAATAAACTTGTACTTGTTAAACCAACCACCCAAACATAAATAAGCCAAGCGGCAGCAAGACATAAAGCTCCAAACCAAATAATATGAAGACATATCTTTACTGATAGAAATACGGATATGATGGCAAAAATTAATCGCCCGACCTATTTTAACAAAACCTTGATTACTTTACTTTTCAAACAATTTTATTTTATTATTAATCATAATTGTAATAACCGAGTGCGTGATTATATGAACGCAATTCTAGTATTATTATATGTGTCGATATGTCTTATAGACTCTGTCGAACAAGGTAAGACTCTCACTACAGCTTTTCATATCTTCCTTTGGTAATGAGGTAATAAATAAAATGATAATACATACAGAACCTGAAAGCCAAAAAAGAGTCAGCGCCCAACTGGCGGCTTCAGCTGATAGATTGAATTTATCGAATTGAAGATAAGAAAAAAAGAATTTTGAAAATGTTTGATAACATCCTCCCACAAAAAATGTATAAATAATAAATATTATTGAAAGACTTAAACCATATTGAAAATATCCACGACCACATGTACGAGGAGAATATGGCGAGGAATTCTCTTTCTTCATCGAAAGATTAACATTATCTGGATCCGTACTAACAGCAGCGCAGTCAATCTAAATATATGCATGATATTTGTTAACTAACTCAATTTTTACGTAACTGAAGCTAGCAGTATTTTCGACTATACTACTATCTTCACTATTTCTCCTTTGCTTTATTGTTACCTGTTGTTCTTGTGATTTTTGTCTGCGATTTCTTAGCACCAGGATGTAAAATAGCATATGTCCAATAGCAACAAAAAAACATAAAACTGCAGTGATTGAGTATGGAATAACAATGTTTGGATTAACATTTGTCGCATTAGTTCCTTCATGATTTGTAACGTTGAGGGATAAGTTTTTTTGTGTGATAAACGGTTGAACAAGTATATTAGAAAAAATAGCACCTACTCCATAACCTAAATGAACTAAATTTAAAGGTGCTGCAGCATTAACAGTCCACATTTTCAATAAGAGATTATTTCCACCTAAATCTGTAAAACCTTTGGAAAGTCCTTGAATAAATGATAAAACACACATTAATATTAATGATGTAACAAATGGAGTAGCAAAAACCACTGAAAACAAAACGATTTAAAAGATTTTTATTTTGATGAGAAGATTTTACCAACAGCAGGTAAAATGAATGCACAAAATAGGAGACCTTCAGAATGATTTTTAACAATATTTTGTAAAATAGCACCAAGAAGATCAGCAATTAAATATCCAGCACTTCTCGATGCAAGCACTGAACCCATGCCACTATATGTTACTTTAAGATTTGCTGCAAGAATTGACAATGTAGGACCAATTAATTCAAGATGGAAACCCTGAAATATCAAAGAATTTGTTTTTTCTAATGAAAATCATTCGTAGAAGTATAAAATTTACCATCATAACCCAAGTTAAAATAAGATATCCAGTTTTGATTAAATTCCATGGATGACTCAAATAAACTTGTATCCTAGATGCAGTTTTTGACGTAGATTCGATTACCATTGATTATTTCGTTTCGTTTGACTAATAAACACTTAAAATCTAAAACTTAATGTTTTCATTATCATTATATTAATTTGAATAGTCTCAAACTAAAACTACATATTTCTAAACAACATTATATTAGTCACTAGCAAAGAAAAAAAATCATTCCAAATGAGTTAGGGAATCATTATTTTTTTTTAACATATAAATATATATAAATGACAGGTTACGACATTTTCTTATCTTATGTTGTAAAAAAAGAGAAACTTTACGATCGACATCAGTAAGATCGAATGCCAAATACAAAACAAACGGCACATTCAGTTGTGAGATAAAAAGAATGAATATATTCATGTGATCGTATGAGAAAATGCACAGACTTCGTTTTAATACTGAATACTATCTATCAGCTTGAACATTGACTTGAGAAAAAAAGGTTATCTCTGTGTGCAAGCCAAGATAAGATGTGTTCCATGAGTCGTACTTTGCAGCACAATGTGCTCGCTCTAAGATATTTCATGCAGCGGATCTACGATCATTTTCGAACGTGATTTAAATAAGTTTTTAGCCACGGAATCTTGACGGTGTGGGTGTGGGGTGGCTGTAGATGAATATAAGACTATGTTGCACCCACACCCCATGATACGTTAGAGTAATCAAATAGAGTTTTTCGATCAATCTATATAATATATTAAATAGACAAGCGTTAGTTTCTTACCTAGATTAGTCAATCTGATGAACGGATGCGGGTGGGTGCTGAAGAAAGATGAATGTGACTTAGTTATGTTCCGCTGCCCCAAACATACCTACGCTTTTCAGATAGTTTCGGAAAGAGCATATGATCAAGCCATATGAAAATATAATTATTAGTCAAAGACAGAAAATGTATCGTCATCACCAGTTACGGCGGTTTGCATTTTAAGAATTTTATTCTGAATAAATAGTTTGATAAATAGCTAAGCATTCGGAGCAGTATAAAGAAGCTTAGCCTGCTCATAGTTGTATAGATTTCCAAGATAAATATCTTCCACATTTTTTAGTCTAGAAGCAATATAAGGATGGTCCAGCTTATAGATCCGACGACAAATATGAAGAATATTCAATTGACATGTGAAATATATTTAAGCTGCATTCAGACTAAGTACTACTGCGGTCAGCCTATTCCAACACTTAATTTTGCACAATAGATCTAAAGGTGTAAATTTTTCTAAAGTCTTAATTATTTCAATTCATCAGCAAAAAACTGAAGCATATTAGAATATCTTTTAACAGTAGCGAAAAAAAAGAAAGACAGATGTTTAATTTTTCATCAAGTAGGACGTTTCTATAATTTTATTATCATTATCAAGTAAATCGCTTACGAAAAACTATTTAATCAAAAGGAATTATTAACAATAATAAAACTAAATTTCATCAACAAAACTATTACATACAATATTAACTTAAACGTATAAGATTATTGATAATGAGAATCAAATTAGATGTACTGTGTCATCGATGAGGTAGCACAAGGTATAATAAATATTACAAGTACGATTGACTATAATATTTACACATCGACGAATTATACTTGGAAATAATTATAAATCCGAGGTGAAGATCGAAGCATGTAAGTTGTAAATTCATATCAGAGCTGTGAGTGTGCGTAGTGTCATCATTCAAATCTACGTCCTATCATAGGTAATCAAATAGATCTACCTTAGAAACAAATATTCTTTAGAAATATTCATATATATATATCAAAATGTATATTATCACTGATTTTATTTAATAAAAAACTCAAGTGAACGAGCTATGTCAATATTCACTTTTATCTTTTAAACACAAAGCAATATTTAAATATTTTTAAGCAGAAAAAATATCGGAAATTTTTCTGTTATATTCAAATTTATTTATTAAAATTGAGTTGACAGGATTTTGACGAAGCAAATATTTTATTTACAGAGTTGCATAATTTCAGGAAGTTTTTAATTAATATAAAAAATTAAATTTTATTTATTAAACACTAAACAGAAAAGATGATTCAGAATATAGGCTATGATGGTATGTATTCATCTATCACCTTTTATTTATTGAGAAAAATTTAACACTTCTGATCAATTTATTTATTTTTATAGTACAAACGCAGAAGTCTTCTCTTCCGCACATATAATTTTATCAATATCTCAATATATAAGAACAAGTGATGTTACGAAGAAGAAAATTCTATGTTAACATAATTATATAGTAATACAATTGAACACCGATCAATTTTTTCTCATCTTTAAAGAGAATATATTGGCTTAGTTTGTCATTTATTCTTCGACTTTTTTTCAATATATAAATTGCAAATATGAAAAGATATTTATTCAAAATTCAAAATCAATAAATAAAGTTTTTTATAAATGAAAATAAATTCTGTAATCACTTTTCAAA